GTAGTAGTAGTAGTAGTAGTAGTAGTAGTAGTAGTAGTAGTACTAGTAGTAGTAGTAGTAGAAGTTGTAGTAGGAGTAGTAGTAGTAGTGGTAGCAGTCGTAGTCGTAGTAGTAGTGGCAACAGTAGCACTCGCAGGATTATCATCAATAACACGAAGCCGGCTGCCCGCAAAACAAATAGTAACAATAGTCGGCGCCACGTAAACGAAACATGTCGGAGGTCCGCGCGGGGTTCTCGCGTTGGCGCTGGACCGCCTGGCGGCGTTTCCGGCGGAGCGCGGCCCAGCGCCGTTCCGAGAAATCCGCGCACCTCCGAGCAGTTTCGTCTATGTTGTGGATGGTTCTCTATGCAGGGGCGGTTTTTGTTTCGGAATGGCGCTCGGGGAACAGCAGGCTGGTGATGATTGGGCGATTGAAAACGGGAAAAGGTCCTCATCCTTCTCCTCGCCCCCTTCGCTTTCGTCATCGTTGTCCCCCCCCGCTTCCGCGTCCTCCTCGCCGTCCTCCTCGTCGTTCCTTTTTGCCCTGGGCACGGCCCCCTGCATTTGAGCCCGTTGCGCCTGCGCGCCGCGCGCGCATTCAATGCCCGTGCGCGCCTTTACCTCGCGAGCGCAGCAGCGCCCCTGCGAGCGCGACGCAGTGCCTCTGAACGCTGCAATAGACTGCGAGCGCCACAGGGCGTCCGCGGTCGCCGCTGGGCGACCGCCGCGACGCGACTACAACGGGGGGGGGGGCGCGGCGCCGCTCGCGCGCGTGATCGCCGGGGTTTTCCTGGGCACGGGCTGTCACATCCTCGCCCCCGCCTGTCGCGGGCAGAGCCCGCCGGAACCGGCCGCCCCCCGATCGCTCCCCCGGGCCGGCGCTTCGACCGAGACCGCAATCTATCGGCCCCAGCGGCGGCGTCCAAGACGGCGCAGGATAGCGCGCGACGGCCCAAGATGGCTGCCTGGCGCCGCCCTCGCGCCCCCGAAGGGCTCGGCGTCGACGGCGCCTCGCCGCGTCGCCGCCGCCGCCGCCGCCGCCGCCGCCGTCGTCGTCGTCGTCGTCGTCGTCGTCGTCGTCGTCGTCGTCGTCGTCGTCGTCGTCGCCGCCGTCGTCGCAGTCGTCGTCGCCGTCGTCGCCGTCGTCGTCGTCGTCGCCCCCCCCTCTCTCTCCCCCTCCGCCCCCGCGCCCTTTTCTCGACCCCGCTGGCCTCCGCCGGCGCGGCCGCCCGGCGCCGCTCGCGCGCGGCCGCAGCCGGGCGCCCCCATCTCGCGCGGCCGCGTGCGGGCCGCAGCGCGCGCGAGGCGGCGGGGGGCCGCGGCGGCGCCGTCGGGCGCAGCGGCGCCGCCGCAGCAGGGGGCGCGGCGAGGCGAAGGCGGGGGGCGCGGCGGGGAGAAGCTCTGGCGCCCGGGCGAAGCGAAGAGCCGCGGCGGCGCCGCGGCGGCGCCGCGGGGGGCGCGGCGAGGCGGGGGGCAGAAGCCGAGCGCCCCGGCGCCCGGGCGGGGCAGGAGGGGCGCCGCGGGGGGCGCGGCGAGGCGGGCGCGAAGCGGGGAGGCGCGCTCCGGCGCCCGCGGGAATCGCGCGCACCCCGAGCGCGCCGCTCGCAGAAGCGCAACCGTCGCCGCCAGGAGGCGAACGTCAGTCGCGCGCCCGCGCGCCCGCTGGAGGCGCCGGGAGGCGGCGTCGAAGGCGCGAACGAAGTGTTCGGCCCTGTCTGCCGCGAGCAGGTGGCCGGCGAAGTGGGTGTCCGCGTAGGCGCGCCCTCTGCCTTTGCGGCTGAAGAGCTGGTCCAACGCCTTCTCCCGATGCTCGCCGCCGGTCTGCGCGGCGGTGACCATCGGGCGGGCGACCCACAGCCGCGCGCACAGTTCCAAGTAGGGCCTTGGAACGCGGGCTGCGCGCGCGGGTGCCCGCGCCTCCGAAGAGCTGGGCAAGCTGGAGTGGCGAGCCCCGACTTTCCGGGCGACGTGGGTACGCCGAAGGCCGCGGCGGAGCAAGGCCTTGGCGCGGGCACTGGCGCCGGAGCGCATGGGCATGGCAGCCCGGGAGGAGCGCCGCGCAAGCGGGGCGCGGCGCGAGCGCAGGGTGGCAGCCGAGGGAACCTTGAGCCTTAAAAAGTATGGACACCTCATTATCCTCCTTCCTCCCCTGTCGTTCCCCCTGCCGCCCCCGTCACCTCTCCCCTTTGCTCGTCGCATTACCGGGAACGGCCATGCAAAAATAATAGGTCACGTAACCGATGGCCCCCCCCACCCGCCCAAGGACGTCCTGCGCTTCTACGCCGCCCCCCCCTCTGGGGAGTTGCCCTCGCCCTTCCTCCTCCCGGGAGTGGCCACTCCCGGGAAGAGGGCCGCCCCCGGAGTGGCCCTCCACCAGGGACGAGGACAAAATCAATGAACAATCGTGGTGGCACACGACCGCACGGTGGACAAAATGTCACACGCCGCGAAAAAATCACGACAGAGGTTTTCCCCAACGGCCCCGATGGCCCCCTCCGGGCCCCGGGAGAGGCAAGAAACAACCCGAGAGGAAAAACCGGTCCCGGGGAGAGGGTCGGGACCCCAGGGGGCCGCGTATTGAACAAAAACACGGTTCAGGATGTCCGGGGACGCTTCTGGCCAATGTATCTCGGCGGCGGAAGCAATCAACACATATAATAAGGTCGCGCTGTAAGGACGCAGAACCCTTGGACGGTTCGCGGGCGCCCCAATTCAAAATTTTCTAGCGGCGCGCTGATCCGCGTAAGACGGCGCCTCGCGTGTCCCCCAAAAAACCGACGACAGTGGCGACACTGGGGCAGATTGCAGCCACCCGGGGGACGGCGAGATCTCGTTGTGACCCGCGTGAAACGCCACCCCGCTTGCCCCCCCAGAAGCCCACGAAGGCGGCGACGGTTTCGCAAACCGCCGCCCCCGGTGCGGCGAGGTCCCGTGATGATCCGCGTAAGACGGCGCCCTGCTACCCCCCCCAGAAACCAACGAAAATGCTGCCAGTTTCGCAGATCGCAGCCCCCCAGGGGGCGGCGAGGTCTCGTTGTGATCCGCGTCGGACGTTACCCGCTGGCCCTCCTACGATCCCACGAAAGTGGCGCCAATCTCGTACATCGCAACCCCGTGCGTCGAGGTCCCGTGGTGATCCGCGTAAACTGTCACTCCGCTGGCCCCCCCGGGAACCCACGGCAATGTCGACAATTTCGCAAATCGCAACCACCCACGGGGCGGCGAGGTCTCGTGGTGTTCCGCGTAAAACGTCACCCCGCAGGCCCTCGCAAAAACCAACGAAAGTGGCCACAATTTGGCACACCGCAGCCCCCCACGGGGCGGCGAGGTGTCATGGTGATCCGCGTAAAACGTCACTCTTCGGGCGCCCCCAGAAGCCAGCGAAATTGGCAGCGAATTCTACTGGTGATCTGCGTGAGACGTACCCCTGCTGAACCTCCCAGGAACCAGCGAAAATCGCGACATTTTCGCAGGGCGCAACGAAGAGGAAGTTGGAGACGAAAGGGAAGAGGGAGGAAAACGGGTGAAGGAGAACGATGGGGAGACGCAGAAGCGGGTTAAAAAAACCTTGCCATCTTTTGGGGGGCGTGTTTTCCTTCCGTTGGCGGGGGCGCCCTCGCTATCCTCCCGCAGGCCTTCCGCCGAAGAGGGGACGTCAGTAGGGCGAGGATGACATCGTGACAAGATTGGCTCGGGATGCGCCCTAGGATCCCCAGGAAGATCTAGTAGCGCGGCCGGCGCGGGACTTTCGGAGATGCGGGGGATCCTGGAATCCTTGAAGGCAACTCGCCGATGCGGCGCGATGTGTCCTGTTCTGCTCGCAGAACTTGGGAACCCTGCAGGGCCAGCTGTCTCGCTCATCGTTGCTTGCAGCTGCTCCCTCGTCACAGCTCAGACGCGGCGCTGTCCTCCGACCCCGCCCGCTCGGACCCCGACACACACGCACACACACGCACACGCACGTACACGCACGCGCACACGCACACGCACGCGCACACGCGCACGCAAACACGCACGCACGCACGCACGCCCGCCCGCCCGCCCGCCCGCACGCCCGCCCGTCCGCCCGCCCGCCCGCCCGCACGCCCGCCCGCACGCGCACGCGAACGCGCACCCACCCACCAACCCACCAACCCACCAACCCACCAACCCACACACCTACACACCCACACACCGACAACCACGCACCCACACACCCACACACCCACACACCCACACACCCACACACCCACACACCCACACACCCACACACACCCACACACACCACACACACCACACACACACACCACACACGCCACACACACCACACACACCACACACACACCACACACACCACACACACCACACACACCACGCACACCACGCACACCACGCATACCACGCACACCACACACACCACACACCACACACACACCACACACACACACCACGCACACACAACACACATTCACACCACACACACACACCACACACACCACACACACCACACACACACCACACACACCACACACCACACACCACACACACACCACACACACCACGCAAACCACACACAGACACACACAGACACACACAGACACACTCACAGACACACAAAGACACACACAGACACACACAGACACACACAGACACACAGACACACACACAGACACACACAGACACACACACAGGCACACACAGACACACACACAAGCACACCACACAACCACACACACATACGCACAGACACGCACAGACACACACAGGCACACACAGACACACAGACACGCACACACACACACACACACGCACACACACACACACGCACACACACGCACACACACACACACACGCACACACACACACGCGCGCACACACGCACACACACGCACAGACCCACGCACAGACCCACGCACAGACCCACGCACAGACCCACGCACACAACCACGCACACACCCACGCACACACCCACGCACACACCCACGCACACACGCACGCACACACGCACGCACACGCGCACGCACGCACCACGCACGCACACCAACGCACGCACGCACGCACGGACGCACGCACGTACGCACGCACGCACGCACGCACGCACAGCTTGGCTGTGCGCACCTGCACGATCAAAAAAACGCACACACACACACACACGCACATACACACACCCACACACACACCCACACACACGCACACACACACACACACGCACACACACACGCACACACAGACACATACACGCACACAGACACACAGACACACAGACACACACAGACACACCGACACACAGGCACACAGGCACACTGACACTCAGACACACAGACACACAAACACACAGACACTTAGACACACAGACACTCAGGCACTCAGACACACAGACACACAGGCACACAGACACACAGACACACAGACACACAGGCACACAGACACACTGACACACAGACACACAGACACACAGACACAGAGACACAGAGACACAGAGACAGAGACAGAGACAGAAACACAGACACAGACACACAGACACAGACGCAGACGCAGACGCAGACACAGACACAGACACATATACACACATACACACAGACACAAACACTGACACAGACACAGACACATAAACACATAAACACAGACACGCACACAGACACACACACACAGACACACACACACACAGACAAACACACAGACAGAGACAGACACGGACACGGACACAAACACAGACACACAGACATATACACACGGACACACACACACACAGACACACACACAGACAGACACACACACAGACACACACATACACACAGACACACACAGACACACATACACACGCACGCACAAACGCACACCCACACACCCACACACCCACCCACCCACCCACGCACCAACGCACGCGCGCACGCACGCACGCACCCACACACACACGCACACACATACGCACACACACACCACACACACACACACGCACACACGCACGCACGCACGCACACACACACACGCACAGACACAGACACAGACACAGACACAGACACAGACACAGACACAGACACAGACACAGACACAGACACAGACACACACACACACACACTCACGCACACACGCATATATATGTATATATTTATACTAGAACCACGCGCGCGCTTCGCGCGCGCTTAGGTTCTAGCTAGGAGGCGAGCTTGAGTCAACGAAAGTCGCAGGGAAGGGGGCAGGGGGAAGAAGGCCAGAGAGCGCTGAAGGATACAAATACTGGAACCCTCTTGTGATTTTGTGGGGGGCCTCGTCCGGCCGCTCGCTGGGAGTTTGACGTAGCTTCTCGGGAGCCTCTGAACCTGTCGGGGGCCTCCTGGAAGCAGGTTCGAAGCATTTTGGGGGCCGATTTGGGGCTTCTCGGGGCCTCCTTTGGGCCTCTTGGGGGTCTCCTGGGGCCTCTTGAGGGGCCTCCTTGGGGCCTCCTGGCGGCCTCTTGGGGCGGAAGGCTCGAGCTTGCGGTTCGTGGTCCCCCTCTGGGCCCCCTCTTGGGCCCGTCTTGGGGCCCTCTTGGGCCATCTTGGGCGCCTCTTGGGCCGTCTTGGGGCCCTCTTGGGCTGTCCTGGGGCCCTCTTGGAAGCTTCTTGGGCCGTCTTGGGGCGGTCTTGGGCGCCTCTTGGGCCGTCTTGGACGCGGTGAAAGCCCAAGAGGCGAACATGCGAAAAATATACGTTTTCCCATAGGAATGGCACGATTTTTGCTTCTTGGGCCTCTCTTGGGCTGCCTCTCGGAGCGTCTTGGAGGCTTCTGGGACCTTCTTGGTGTCATGACAGGCGTCTTGGAAGGCATCTGGAGCCATCGGAGCGCGTTCCGAAGCCGCCTGCGAACGATCTTGGACGGCGTCCGGCGGTCCGACGAGCCTCCGGGCCCCCCGGGGCCCACATTTGTGGTCGGGGTCCCGGCCCCGGGCCCCCGGACCCGGTGCGCCGTTATATGTGTATGTATATATGTATATATACATCTATATATACATATACACATAGATATAACATATACGCACGTGTGCGTCTTATGTTAGTCCACTCGAAACCCGATTGGGATACCCAGAACGGATCCCCCAGGCCCAGGGGCGGGCCCAACCAGGACCGGTACTGCAGGTCCCTGCCGCGGCGGCGTCGGCCACTTGTTTCGGATCGGGCCCCCAGGGAAAAGAAGAAGAGGCTACGCGTTTTGCCCCCCAGGCTTGCTGCATACTTCGGGCAGCTCTGCACTCCTGTACTCGAATTTCGTGAGGCGGAGCGCACTTCTGAACAAAACAGAACAGAAACCGTACACCCAAAGGCGCGTCGGCAGGCGCTACATGATGAGCGAATTCAGACAGATCAAAAAAAGGAACGACGCACGCATGGAGGGAGGGACGCGCGACGAGCGGGGACGGGAGGCGAGGCGGACCGAGCGAGGGAGGGACGGACGACGAGGGGGGACGGCCGAGGAAACGCGAGCGGGGGTGTCCTTTCTTACCTCTTCGGCCTCTCGTTCCGCACGCGAGCCCATCTTGGGCCGCGGCTGCTGCACCAGGCCTCAAGCAGCCCGACCCGTTCTGCCTCGAAGAGACCAGGGGCGCCCCTGCTCGGCCTCTCTTCGCGCGCTCCGCCCCCCGGGGGCTCTTCGGGCCAGCTTGCCAGGGACGCAGCATCGAACGAACCGGGCCTCGGCGACCGCCCCCAAACTGTTGCGTCGGCGGCTGGGCAGAGCAACTGTACTGGCGGAGGAACGAGCTAAACGGGGGCAACGTTGCCACCCGCCTCCAAACAAGCAGGGAGGAAGGCCGGCGGTCGCGAGCCCGCGAAAACATCCCGACGCAGAATTAATTCCGGGGCGGATGCAGCCGTGCCGACGAGGGAGCTTGGGAGACCCAAAAGCGTGACAAACTTGCACGCTCTGCATCATCGCCGCGAGGGCTTCCACAATGGCCCTACTATTGTTCCAAGGTGGCCCAGAAGGCTTCCAAAAACGCCCCAAGATGATTCCAAGAGGCCCCCCCGAAATTTTTAGCTTCACCATAATCGGCATCCCTGCTTCAATACAGCCAACCTGTCCCATACGGACGCACGATAAGAATGCAAGGGCCTTGGGAGGCCATGTCGAAACTTTGCGGGCGGGGCGCGGCCAGCGAAAGCGGCCAAGGATGGGCCGAAGGGGAAGGATGCAAGGGTAACCTTGGACAGTTGCTCATCCTTGCTATGCGACTATGCGGGCTGTCTGTCTGTGCTTACCTGCGCCCCTCCTGCAGACAGCTCTCATGGGCATTGTTTTTGGATGGGTTGAGAAGGGGGACGCGCGAATGGTCAAGCATACGGCGGATCCAGCGGCGGCTATGACTTCGCGATGCCGGGTGGGCGACGGTAAAAACAAACAGGGTTTTGCGCGAGATGGCGTAGCGATTTCACGCGGCGGCTTACAGTCATCGGCCTGACCTAAGGAACGATAAGTAAGGAACGAAGCCTCTTTTTCCCAAATGGCAACGCAAAAAAGGAAAGAAAAGTAATAACTAACGCATCCGGAGCGATGAATTACGCATGCGAGCCTAAGAATCGACCGAGCCCTTTTGAAAAATTAGTGCTCCTTGTTCAAGCCGCTCGCTGTACGCGGGCCGCCACCGCGGCACACCACAGTGGAGATGAGGGCACTTGCGCGCGACCTTGCGCGGGCAGCTTGCGCGCGGATGTTGGCACCGACGACGTAGCGTATTGATACGGAGCTCACCACGTAGACTTGGAACGTGCGTTTGGCGCGATGCGTCCGCCACGACGTGGCCCAACGCGTGCCGAGCCAACAGGCAACGTATTGGCACAGACGCTTTGAACACGGTGCGCGTTGTGTTGCAAAACGGGCGCATCGAGGCAGCTAAGCTGAGGAAGCCTCCGACAAAAAAAAGGTTCTTCGCAAGACGTGTTTTGTACACATCTCGCGAAAGCGACAAAAAAGCTCTCAGACCATTCGCTGATTGATCTATACCATAGGCAAGCCACGACGCCTCGCCACTGCTCGAACGACGCCTCCGACAGAACACGCAACGTATGGACACGGACGTCTTGCACACGGGACGTGCTGCGTTTCAGAACGGGCGTGTCTAAGCATGGGCGCCCGAATTATCCAGGATAACTGCGGTCCGGGGTACCTCCAGTTTGGGCCCCCGAGGCACGAATCTGCAACTAAATACCCCTGACTGCCCCCCACTCTGATGGTTTGGGAGGGGTGGGCGCGCGAATTATCTGGGATAGCGGCGGTCCAGGGGAACTCCAGCTTGGGCCCCCGAGGCGTGAATCTGCAGCTGCTCCCGACTGCCCTCGACCCTGATGACTTGGGAAGGCTGGGCGCCCGAAGCATCCGGGATAACTGCGGTCCGGGGCAACGCCAGTTGGGCCCCCGAGGCGGGAATTTGCAGCTACAGCCGACCCGTATCACAAAGATGCGCGGTAAGGATGCAAGGGCCTTGGAGGCCCATGTGAACGTTTTTTAACCGAGGTTGGTCAGCGAAAGTCACTAAGCATGGGCCGAAAAGGCCGGGATGCAAGGGTACCTTTGGGAAGGTTGCCCATCCTCCCTATGCTAGCGGGACCAACAACCACATCAACGTAAACTTTGGGAGGTCCGCGCGGGTTTCTTCGATCCGCGCCGGACCCCACTTTCCGGCGCGCACGGCGCGCCAGGGGCGGCGCTGGAAGCACCGCCAGGGGGGCCCAGCGCCAATTCAAAAAGCCCGCGCGGAACGCCAAAAGTTTATGTTTACGGCGTTTCTTTTCTCCTTCGACTGACCGCCCCCGACCCTGACGATGCGGGGCTCCGGCATCGACCGATTTTTTTCGCCGCCCACCGACCGCAGCCCCCGTACGCCGCAGGCGCCGCCCGCCGCCCGCGCGGCAGCCGCCGGCGCGGCCCGGCGGCGCCGCAAAAAATCGCCGCCCGCGCGCCGCCGCGGCCCGCGGCGGCGGCCTCCGCCTGCGGCGGCGGCGCAGGCGCGCCCGGCGGCGCGTCGTCGCATTCGCCGTCGTCTTCATCGTTGCCGCCGTCGCCGTCGCCGTCGTCGTCGCCGTCGCCGTCGCCGTCGCCGTCGTCGTCGCCGTCGTCGTCGCCGTCGGCGTCGCCGTCGGCGTCGTCGCCGCCGCCGCCGGCGCGGCGGCGGCCTCCGCCGGCGACCCGCCGCGGTCTGCGGCGGCCGCCGTCGGTGGCGCCCGCAGGCCCCGCGGCGGGGCTGCCGCCGGTCCGCACATGGGCCCCCCGCGGCGAGGCCCCGCCCAGACATCCAGGGACTCGAGACCCAGACCTCCTCGAGTCGTGCAAAAAAATCACGACGGGAGGCTTTTCGTGATTTTCAGCCTCTGGGGGCCCTTACGGCCCTCGGGGCCACCAAAAAATTGCTCAGGATGAAAATCTGGTACTGGGGAGGGGTCGGGACCTCTGGGGGTCGACGTTATAAACAAATCGCGGCGTCAGGGGTTTGGAAAAGAGATCCGAGAGAGCCGAATTCTTCGATCATGGTCCCCCGCGACGCCCCGACCCCTTCCATGGGGCCAGCGTTTCGCCCCGCGGGCTGTTTTTTGGACGGTCCCGGGGCCCCCCAGAGGCCTTTCTTTATTATATTTGTTTTGGCGTGTGTGTATATGTATACACACACTTTATACATATGCGTCAGGAAAAAACCTCGCGTCGCGCTTCGCTTCTCATGGGGCGAGGGGGTCTGGGCCGAGAAAGGATCTCGCCGGCCGGCCCGCCGCCAGTCGGCGGAAGGCCCCCCCTGTGGAGGCGGGCCACTCGGGTGCTGGGGCCGCCGGGGGCCGGCTGGGGCCGGGAGGCCGTCCTTTGTGGCAGGGGGTCGAAGAGGCCTACGGCGACAGCAGGACCGAGCACCGGCGGGACCGATCCAGGCAAGCGCGCTCCACGACTCGCAGAACAACTGCTCGCAAAGTGCCTGGATCCACCGGGGGCTTGCGATCCGTTGCGTCGAGGCATGCCGTGTGTGTGTGTGTTTTCGCGCGTTTGCGACTCGGCACGTTGCGAATACCGGGACACGCCTGGTGACGACCGCGAAAGGGGGACCGGCCGAAAACCGACAGGACGAACGTAACAAAACGGACCGAACCGAATGTAGACGACGGCGACGCAGGCAGGAACTGTCAGCATCGGAGCGGAACGCCATAGTGCATCGGACCGGGCATCAGATCGTGCCGCATCAGCACGAGTCGAATCGGATCGGCCGCGACAGGGTGCACAACAACGCCGTACGAGCATCGGGGCGCACCAGGTCGTCGGAACATCGGCATCGGGCCGAATCGGGCCAGCCGATAACAATACCGAGTAGAAGCGATCGAATCGAAGTGGGCCCTGCGCAGGCGACCGATCCGAGTCGTGGACACCCCTGCGGGCCCAAAACCGATACCAAGCCGAAGCGGTCCGATCGCAGTGGGCCCTGCGCAAGCGAGCGATCCGAATCCCGCACGGCCCCTGCGCAGGCGACCGATCGATCCAAGTCGCGGGCGCCCCTGGGGGCCCGAGGACTTGTTTTTTTCTGATGCGGGATCCCCCGAGCTCTGGACCTTTCCCTGAGGCAAACATGCCATTTTTCCATGGAAGTGTTTAATGACGGTTCGGGTGGCCCGTCGAGGGCTTCTCTGGAAGCCGAAGAAGGCGAAAAACCTCCGTCATATTTTTCCCGATCCTTGGGCAGCGAAAAATGGGGGACGATACATGGGGGGGGCGGCGAGGGCTGCAGAAAAGGAGCCCGTGAGGGCCCCTTGAGGGCCCGAGAGGTGCACCTGTCTTCCCCTGCACTTATTCGCCCCCCATTGCAGTAGGAGCTCGACCACAGGAAAGCTTCCACAAGAAACCCAACACGAAGACCTCAGGACGGTGTGGGAAATTCGCTCTTTCCACCGAGTACCCTCGAAACACAAGAAATCCAGGGCAACCCGGCAGCAAGCAAGGTGCTTCTTGGCATGGGTTTCCACCCCAGACATGCGATGTCCTGATGTTATCAATACGGGGCCCCTGAAGTCCCGAAGCGCCGCCCAACGTGCTTTGGATCTCTGGGGGGCCGAGTCGCGGAATGCCCCCTGGGGGCCCATGTCTCGAGAGGTGCGCCTTTCTTCCCCCACAATCAATCGTCCCCGTTGCACGCAGGAAGCATCTATACACCATCGCCGTGCCAGGCCAAGGCCATCCTGGCCCCGGCACGGTGTATACGCCCTCCTGGCCGAAGCCAGGCCGGTCTATACACCGTCCTGTGGCCCACGATGGCGCGGTGGTGGTGGTGGTGTATAGATGCCTGCGCCGGCCGCATTGTGAGCGTTTTTTTTTTATTCGGCGTTTCGACATTGGGCGGAAAAGGGGGGGAGGGGAGGGTCTGGCTCCGGACCTCTGCATAGTTTTAGTGCGACTGTTTGGAACAGTGGGTCCATTATGGGGGAGGCTCCACCTGCTCGAAATGGGCGCCAAAAACGGCCAAGATCACTCCGTAGGGGGGTGTTGCGGGGGCCCGCGCCGATGGGCAAAGCAACACATAAGAAACGATCGCATCAAGCGACGCTCAAACTTAATTGGATCTCTGGGGAGCCGAGTCGCGGAAGGCCCCCGGGGGCCCACGTCTGGATCCGCCCGGTCCCTCGGACGTCGGGGTCCAGCGTGCCGGCGCCGCGGCGCCGCGGCGGGAGCCGCGCGGCGGAGCTCGAGGCAGGAACGCCTCGGGGCGAGGAGGAGGAGGAGGAGAGGGAGGAGGAAGAGGAGGAGGCGGAGGAGGAGCAGGAGGAGGAGGAGGAGGGAGGAGGAGGAGGAGGAGGAGGGACGCGAGTGGAGGAGAAGAATGAGTAAGAGGAGGGAGGAGGAGGAGGAGGAGGAGGAGGAGGAGGAGGAGGAGGAGCAGGAGGAGGAGCGGTGGAGGAGGAGGAGGAGGAAGGAGAAGGAGGGAGGAGGGGGAGGGGGAGGAGGAGGAGGAGGAGGAGGAGGAGAGGAGGAGGAGGAGGAGGAGGAAGAGGAGAGGAGAGGAGGAGGAGGAGGAGGAGGAGGAGGAGAGGGAGGAGGAGGAGGAGGAGGAGGAGGAGGAAAAGGAAGATTAGGAGGAGAGGAAGACGGACGAGAGAGGAGGACCGCAGGAGGAATAGGAGGAGCAGGAGCAGGAGGAGGAGGAGGAGGAGGAGGAGGAGGAGGATTGTCCAAACTGTCTGTTGGGACATTGGTAAAATATTACCGTCCTACGAATATGTATGATTCAAATGGGTCTGGGCCACTGCCCCCCTTTATGAAGCTGAATGCCCTATGACCCCCCATGGAAACGCCACTCACGTGCAATGCATCGCGAATCCGTTCCCGAGACCTTCCACTCCACTACTATGAAGTACCGGGCAAGCTTTCTGAGACCGACAGCTGCTAACCAGTATGCCTATTGATGTGAGAACCTGGTAGGTAAAGGACAGACCCTGGGACATATCTGACACAGGAAACGCATCAGCTATAAGCTTAAAACTTAAAAGCTAGCAGCTTTTAAATCGCATTTACCCCGCTGACGCGAATGTGCATACAACTTTCGCCCAAAGGGCTGCCGCACGACTGTATGAACCCAAGATGCAACAGCGATGCGCCAGCATACCCTCCAGTCTCAAACCCCGTTTCCACAAGTCCGCAACATCGACATACATAGCTTATCTCTGTACTGCGGCAAGCGCCCCCTTCATAGAAAAGCGGGCGATGGGCATGCCATGCAGGCGACAACCCCTTCTTTGGAAAGGAATCGGCCTCCGCTTTTCTAGCCCAGGTGGGGTCGTACATTGAGAAGATAAGTCCAGCGAGCGTTACGCTTCGAGAGTTCGCCGCCCTCCATCTGTGCAGCTGCACAAACGTACGTTTATGCAATCGCCGAGATGGAGAACCATCACGCAGAACCCGAACTTGACACGGAGCCGCCCTCTGGCCGTGAACTGGCTGCGCAGTGCTGCATCTCGGAGCAGAGACACTGCACCAACCTTAGCAAGACTCCACGGCTGAGAGGCACGCGCCCTCCGTCTCTGCAGCTGTTGCAAGCTTGCAAGAATAATGCGTGTGGCGCTGAAACAAGAATCATAGTTTAAAATCCGCGCGCCATCCATCCGTGTAGCTGCTGGAGCGAAAAGACGCCTGTGACAGGCTAGAAGGCAACCGCCAACCACCCGTCCGTGCAACTGTTGGAAGCTTCGAAGACGAACATGGGCGGCGCTGCGACGATGATCGAATTTTGACAAACACGCGCGCTCCATCCGTGAAGCTGTTGATAGCTTGCTTGACGAACGTGCTCAGCGCTAGGACGAGGGCCACATGTGTTGTTGTTGTTGTTGTTGTATGTCTAAGGCGAAACGCCTGGCCCGCCCTACCGACGCGTCTGGTGGTGCGAGGAGGGTGAGGATGAGGATGAGAAGGAGCACGAAGGCATGCTCGAACAAAAAACAGCTCGCCCTTGCAGTGGCGGCGTCTGCACTTCTACCTACAGAGAGAAGTCCTCCAGAGGCTCGCGCGGGCTCGAACACGGCAGGGAGAGAGAGAGGGAGTGTATCCAAAATCGTTGCCAGAGCCAGATCGTCGACCCTCACGATGGGCGGCGTCTGTACTGAAGGGGCCCTGGGACACACAAATAAATACACACAAATAACAGGATTCCCCATGTTTTCCCATATTTTCTAAGTTTCTGTCTCCCCCCCACTTCTTTTCTGGGGGATCGACGATTAATTGTGCCTGTGTTTTTTGTTCCCCTCCTGATGTACTGCGGGTTCGTGTCGCGACGACTTGCGCATCCCGACCTAGAGAAAGGAACAACGCCATGAACATAAACTGTTGGCGCTCCGCGCGGACTTCTTGGATCTGCGCTGGACCCCCCCTCCCTGGCGCGCGGAGCGCGCCATGGGCGGCGCTGGAGGCGCCGCTGGGGGGGCCCAGCGCGGATCCAAGAAATCCGCGTGGAGCCTGAACAATTGATGTTTATACCGTCCCTTCTTCTTCGATGACACCGCATAGGTCGTTCGACCCTGAACGATCGCGGCTTCCCGCTTGCGCAGGACCGCCCGACATCGGCCGATTCCGCGGGCCACTGGCTGCGCTCCGCATGGAAAATGCCGGCGCTGCGGTGGCCGCCGGCGCCCGCGCGGCGCCAAGAAACCACCGCACCCTTCGAGTAGGGGATCGACTGCAGGAATCGATTTACCCCAGAATTGTTTTTTTTGCCGACTATGCAAGCGAGTACGTCGAAGATTCGCACATCTGCGAGGATTCTTAAGATATCTGTCGCAGAAGCGACGAACACGTCAATTCTGGGGTGAATCTCACTTCTGTAGTCGATCTCCTACTCGAGGGGTGCGGCCCCAGGGGCAGGAGAGCCCTCGAAATCGAGTCGAATCGAATCGGATCGGAGGAATCGAAACGAATCGAATCGAATCTAATTGGAGGAATCGAAGCGAGCCCTGCAGGGGGGGGGGGGGCAAACCTTCCTCCAGGGCAGACTTTCGCCCGCGGGCCCCTTCTTCCGATGGCCCCGTGGGGCCCAGTGAAAGCAAGGGGCCCCCAGAGGCCGAGATCGAGGGCCGGCGAGATGGGAACCCCTGTCTTCCCCCATCTTCTGGGTTTTCGTCTTCCCCCCCGCTTGCCCTATTTTCCCCCGCGTTTTCAGGGAGTCGACGTTTGATTGTGTCTGTGTGCTTTTCCTCGCCCGAATCATACAGCAAGAGGTCGACCACAAGAAGCCTCCCACAAGAGACCCAACCCTGAGGCCCCAGGACGTCCCGTGGATTCCTGGTGTGGGAACGTCACACTTTCCGTGGCACAGCCATCGAAACTCAAAAACCCCAGGAAACCCTGCAGGCGAGCAGGCTGCCTCCTCGCATGGGTCTCCACTGCCAACGTGGGAGGTCCGAGAACCCGCAATGCCGAACTCATTCTGCGCCTGCCCCTCGCGCCAGACGGCAACTCTACCGGGGGGCCTACGCCGGAAGGGCCACTCAGGATGAAGCCTCCCCGGGTCGGGCGTTGCTAGAAGTGGCCCTGGCCCAAGGCGCCCCCAGGATTTCCAAGGAGGCCCTCGCGGCACCCAGGGCACCCCTCGCGAGGCCCAGGGGGCGCCAGGGCTCCAAAAATGAACGAAAAGCTGACGGCATCCTGGGCCAGGGGCACCTTTAGCACCCCCCGATCGGGGGGCTGGTACGCTGGGTGAGGACACGGCTTACGCGCGATGAAGCGGGATTAAGCCGCATTGAGCCGGATTGCGCGGGATTAACTGAGCGAACAAAGACATCAGCATAACAACTCTGAGGTCCGCGCGGGTTTCTCGGATCGGCGCTAGACCCCCCTCCCTGGCGCGCGGAACGCGCCAGGGGCGGCGCCGGAAGCGCCGCTAAGGGGCCCCAGGGCCGATGCGCTATTATGCTGGAGGAAGCGGGGCTTCGGACACGGGCAAGGTCAGAACTTGACCTCCCGTGGAGCTGCATCCGCACTCTCGTCTTACATCGGACCTGTCCCTCTACAGGAAGAGTTTTAAGAATGGCCAACAATAGTCTGGGGACGATGTTTGAAAACTATGATTGATCATTTTACACTTGTATACATATATGATTGCTCATTATACAAATGTATACATATACATACATGTATATATATATGTATGTATGTATATGTATATGTATATGTATATGTATATGTATATATATATATATATATATATCGGAGGTGAGGGGTGGAGATCGAAGTGGAACGGAGAGCCCCCCTACCGGGAAATCGGTTTCGGTTTCGTGTTCGTGCGTGCCGTGCGTGCGGGCGAGGCGAAGCTGCGTGGGCGGGCGAGAAATGTCCCGTTTTGGCTGAGGCGCGGCCGGACCAGAAGTCCCCCTTCGGGCAACTGGTGCCGCGCGGTGTCCCGCCTGTGTCCCGCCGGTGCCCCGTCGGTGTCCCGATGATGATGAGAATGATGATGATGATGATGATGATGACGATGTTGCTGATGATGATGATGATGGTCATGGTGGTGATGATGATGATGCTGGTGCTGATGAAGCTGATGTTGTTGATGATGACGGTGGTGTCCTGATGATGATGACGAAGATGTGAATGATCCTGGTGATATTGATGATGAGATGGCGCGATGCTGATGCTGATGATGAAGATGATGGTGATAATGATGCTGATGGTGTCCTGATGATGATAATGAGGTTGATGATGATGCTGTTGATGATGATGCTGGTGATGATGATGAGAGTGTCCCGATGATGATGATGTTGGTGATGATGACGATGATGGTGTCTCGATGATGAGGATGATGATGTTGATAGAGACTGGTAATGAGGTGATGATGATGGTTTTGATGGTGGTGGCCCGATGATGATGCAGATGTCGATAGTGATGATGGTTTCCCGATGATGATGACGGTGATGATGATGGTGACGATGAAGATGGCCCCGGTGATGAGTTTGATGATGATGATGCTGCGGATGAAGATGATGAGCTTGGCCAGATGATGATGTTGATGATATTGGTCATGATGGTGATATGATAATGATGATGATGGTGGTGGTGTGCCGGTGTGATAGTGAAGATGATGGTGTCCCGATGATGATGATGTTGATGATGATGACGATGATGGTGTCCCGATGATGGTGATGATGGTGATGATGATGCTGATGGCCATGGTGGTGATGATGATAGTGTCCCGATGATGATGATGTTGATGATGCTGCTGTTGCTTATGATAATGAAGGTGTCCATATGATGAAGATGTTGATGATCCTGATGATGTGATGATGCAGTGATGGTGATGAAGATGATGATGGTGATGGTGTCCCGATGATCATGATGTTGGTGGTGATGTTGATGATGATGGCGAGGATAATGATGAGGTGCCGATGACGATGTTGATGATGGTGACGATGATGGTGTTCGATGATAGTGATGATTTTGATGATGAAAATGGCGATGACGTGCTGATGATGATGGTGGCCTGGTGATGATGTTGGTGATGCTGGTGTAAAGTATGATGATGATGGTGTCCCGATGATGATAATGATAGTGATGCTGATGGTACCGATGATGATAATGTCCCGATGATGATGATATTGATGATGGTAAGGATGCTGGTGATCATGGTGGTGTCCCGGTGATGATGATGATGATGATGATGATGTTGGCGATGTTGTTCATGATGAAGATATGGTGATGATGATAATAATGGTGGTGTTCCGATGATGGTGATGATGATGGTGCCCCGATGATGATGAAGTTGGTGATACTGGTGACGATGATGGTGTCCCGATGATGATGATGGTGATGCTGATGTTGATGATGATGGTGATTCGGTGATGATGATGGTGTCCCGATGATGATGATGAGGATGATGACGTTGACGACGTTGACGACGATGACGCCGATGATGACGATGACGTTGATTGTGTTACCGATTGTGATATCGATGGTGATAACGATAAGGAGACCGAATGTGCAATATATGGTGAGATCGATCGTGAGATCGATTGTGAAATCGAAATCGATTGTGACGTCGATGGTCAGAACGATGGTGAGATCGATCGAATGAAATAGATCGAGTGGTATCGACTGTGCGATCGATCGGGTGAGATCGATCGAGCGAGACCGATAGTGATATCGATAGTGAGATCGATAGTGAGACCGATCGAGTGAGAAGTTGGTTCCCCCCCCGAGCCTCCTTATCACCCGAAGGGTGGTCGTATAGGTATGTGTGTGTGTATATATATATATATATATATCGGAGGTTGGCGGGTGAGTCCGACGTGAAACGGAGACCCCCCTCTACCAGGAAATCGATTTCGGTTACGGTTCGTGTCGTGCGTGCCGTGCGTGCGTGCGGGCGAGGCGAAGCTGCGTGGGCGGGCGAGAGGAAATCCTCCTGTGGCTGGGCCGCGGCCAGACCAAATGTCACTCCTCCGGCGGCCGGTGCCGCGCGGTGTCCCGGCGGTGTCCCGCTGGTGTCCCGAAATCCTCCTGTGGCTGGGCCGCGGCCGGACCAAATGAAACTCCTCCGGCGGCCGGTGCCGCGTGGTGTCCCGGCGGTGTCCCGCTGGTGTCCCGTGGTGTCCCGTGATATCGATGTGGTGCCCCGTGGTGTCCCGTGGTGTCCGTTGAGTGAGATCGATGGTGAAATCGATAGTGAGATCGACAAGTGTCCCGTAATGTCTCATGGTGTCTCTTTGAATGACATCGATGGTGAAATGGCTACTGGAATCGATGTGGTGCCCCGACGTGTCCCGTGGTGTCCCGTGGTGTCCCGCTGAATGAGATCGATAGTGAGATCGATAGTGATATCGATAGGTGTCCCGAGGTGTCCCGTGGTGTCCCGTTGAGTGAGATCGATCGTGACATCGATCGTGAGATCGATGTGGCGTCCCGAGGTGTCCCGTGGTGTCCTATGGTGTCCCGCTGCGTGAAATCGATAGTGAGATCGATAGTGAGACCGATAGTGGGATCGAGGGGTGTCCCGCGGTGTCCCGTGGTGTCCCGATGAGTGAAATCGATCGTGAGATCGATGTGGTGTCCCGAGGTGTCCCGTTGAGGGAGATCGATAGTGAGATCGATTGAGTCAGATTTGATCCCCCGCTCCCCCCCCCACAACCTTCTTATCACCCGAAGGGTGGTCGTATCGGAGATGAGGGGGTGAGATCGAAGTGAAACGGGGAACCCCCATACCGGGAAATCGATTTCGGTTTCGTGTTCGTGCGTGCCGTGCGTGCGGGCGAGGCGAAGCTGCGTGGGCGGGCGAGAAATAAGTCTCCTGTAGCTGAGGCGCGGCTGGACCAAAAGACTCCGTTCTGGCAACCGGTGCCCCGCGGTGCCCCGCCGGTGTCCCGATCGGGGGCCAGTGGCGCGCGGTGTCCCGCCGGTGTCCCGTCGGTGTCCCGATGATGATGATGATGATGATGATGATGATGATGATGATGATGATGATGATGATGATGATGATGATGATGAGCACGATGATGATGATGAGGATGATGATGTTGATGATGTTGACGATGATGATGATGATGCTGATGGTGATTGTGGCGATGATGATGGTGTCCCGATGATGATGATGTTGACGATGTTGATGATGATGATGATGATGATGGTGGTGGTGGTGATGGTGCCCCGATGACGATGTTGATGATGATGTTGCTGATGATGATGGTGCCCCGAGATGATGATGTTGATGATTCCGACGATGAGGATCAGATGATTTGATGATGATGATGATGAAGATGAAGATGATGATGTCCCAAGGTTTATGATGAGTTTGATGATGATGCTGTTGATGATGGTGTTGATGATGATGATTGTGTCCAGATGGTGATGATAAGTATGCTGATAACGATGATGGTGTCCCGATCATGATGTTGATTATGAGGACGACGATGAGTGATGATGATGCGGATTTTGATGATATTGGCCCAATGATGGTGATGATGCTGCGGATGTTGATGATGATGATGATGATGATGATGATGTCCCGATGATGTTGATGATGATGATGATGATGATGATGATGATGATGATGGTGACGATGATGATGGTGTTCCGATGGTGATTCTGGTGTTGAACATGTTGCTAATGATGATGATGGTGTCCCGGTGGTGATGCTGCTGATGATGATGATGTTCATAATCATGATGATGAGATGATGATGCTGGTGATGGTGGTGTTCCGATGATGAGGATGAGGATGATGATGATGATGATGATGATGATGATGGTGCCCCGATGGTGATGATGTTGATGATGATGGTGACGATGATGGTGTCCCGATGATGTTGAAGATGCTGTTGATGATGTTGGTGATGATGGTGATGAAGTGATGATGATGGTGTCCCGATGATGCGGATTATGATGATGATGTTGATGACGTTGATGACGATGATGTTGGTGATGATGATGATGATGATGATGATGATGATGGCGTTGATTGTGATATCGATTGTGAGATCAATCGTGAGATCGATAGTTCGACCGAATGTGAGATCGATTGTGAGATCGATTGTAAGATCGATAGTCGGATCGATTGTGATATCGATCGAATGAAATAGATCGAATGAGATCGATGGTGAGATCGATCGGGTGGGATCGATCGAACGAGGCCGATAGTGAGATCGATAGTGAGACCGATCGAGTGAGACGTTGCTTCCTGCCCCCCCCCCGAACCTCCTTATCACCCGAAGGGTGGTCGTGTAGGTATGTATGTATATATATATATATATATACATCGGAGGTTGTGGGGTGGGTCCGACGTGAAACGGAGACCCCCCCCACCGGGAAATCGATTTCGGTTTCGGGTTTGTGTCGTGCGTGCCGTGCGTGCGTGCGGGCGAGGCGAAGCTGCGTGGGCATGCGAGAGGAAATCCTCATGTGGCTGGGCCGCGGCCAGACCAAATGTAACTCCTCCGGCGGCCGGTGCCGTGCGGTGTCCCGCCGGTGTCCCGTGGGTGTCCGAAATCCTCCTGTGGCTGGTCCGCGGCCGGACCAAATGAAACTCCTCTGGCGGACAGTGCCCCGCGGTGTCCCACCAGTGTCCCGTGGTGTCCAATGGTGTCCCGTTGAGTGAGATCGATCGTGAGATCGATCGTGAGATCGATCGTGAGATGGATGTGGTGCCCCGAGGTGTCCCGTGGTGTCCCGTTGAGTGAGATCGATAGTGAGATCGATAGTAAGATCGATGTGGTGTCCCGAGGTGTCCTGCGGTGTCCCGTGGTGTACCGCTGAGTGAGATCGATAGTGAGATCGACAGTGAGATCGACATGTACATGTCCCGTGGTGTCCCGTTGAATGAGATCGATAATGAGATCGATCGCGAGATCGATCGTGAGATCGATGTGGTGTCCCGAGGTGTCCTATGGTGTCCCGCTGAGTGAGATCGATAGTGAGATCGATAGTGAGACCGATAGTGAGATCGAGAAACGTCCCGCGGTGTCCCATGGTGTCCTATGGTGGCCCGTGGTGTCCCGTTGAGTGAGATCGATAGTGAGATCGACAAGTGTCCCGTGGTGTCCAGCGGTGTCCCGTGGTGTCCGTTGAGTAAGATCGATAGTGAGATCGACAGGTGTCCCGAGGTGTCCCGTGGTGTCCCGTTGAGTGAGATCTATAATGGGATCGATCGTGAGATCGATAGTGAGATCGATGTGGTGTCCCGAGGTGTCCCGTGGTGTCCTATGGTGTCCCGCTGAGTGAGATCGATAGTGGGATCGATATTGAGATCGAGGTCGAGAGGTGTCCCGCGGTGTCCCGTGGTGTCCCGTTGAGTGAGATCGATAGTGAGATCGATAAGTGTCCCGTGGTGTCCTGCTGAGTGAGATCGATAGTGAGATCGATTGAGTCGGATGTTGGTTCCCTCCCCCACACAACCTCCTTATCACCCGACGGGTGGTCGTGCAGGTAAATTTATACATGTGTACACATGAAAATGGCTAGTCTAAAAATTGTCTTCAAAATGGACACGCCTGACCTAACTCGCGCCTCCGGCGGGCCCCGCCCGCCCCCTCCACGGTCTTCCGGCGCGCGATCGTCCTGCGCAGCTGCTGCGCCTCCGGCGGCGGGGGGGGGGAGGGGGGCATTCCTCCTTCTCCTCCTCCTCCGCCTCCTCCTCCTCCTCCGCCTCCTCCGCCTCCTCCTCCTCCTCCTCCGCCTCCTCCGTCTCCTCCTCCTCCTCTGCCTCCTCCTCCTCCTCCTCCTCCTCCTCTCCTCCTCCTCCTCCTCCTCCTCCTCCTCCTCCTCCTCCTCCTCCTCCTCCTCCGTGGGCAGGCAGGCGGCAGGCGGCAGCCAGCAGCGGCAGTCCCAAACCTCCGACGACGTGACTCCGTGTGGCTCCTCGGGCTCTGGGAGGCCTCTCCAAGCGGCGATGTCTCCCTGGCTTTCGGCCCTCGGAGGCCTCGCCATCGCTCGGACGTCCATCCCCTGTGCTTTTTTCGGCTTCGCGCGGGCATGTTTCACAGGATGGCCTCACCGGTCCCTCGAGGGTCCTCGCCGACCACGTCCGAGCGATGCCAAGGGGCTGTCGTCGTCGGGAGCGTTCAAGAGGGGGCGTCCAAGAGGGGGGTTCACAGATGCTGTCCCGAGGCGTGGGTGCGGACCAGGGCAGGTGGGGTGGGGGGGGCGATGGACGTCTTGAAATCCCACCAGCCCTTTAGGGCGTGAGTGGTTTAGAGCGTGCCCTCTTCCAACCCCCCCATCTTCCCCTTCGGGTAGGGGTTCATTCCCTTCCCTATGTGTAAACACCCCCTTCCCAAGGCGACAAGCAGCCAACCAGGACCAATGACCCCCCCACACCATCCCTGTCAAAAACAAAACAGCAGACACATTGGGCTAAATCTTGGGTCATGCTCGTGGGCTCCGCAAGCATTTCGCATAGCGTTTTTGACAAGGACGGCGGGGGTGGGGGGTATCATACTGTCTGCTGTGCGCACGGCCACCATCTCCGTCAAAACAACACAAAGTACACTTCGCGGCTAAATCGGGATCGTGCGCAGCTACCCCGCGACCATCGTCCATGGTTTTTTGACAAGGACGACTTGGGTGCTGGCATGTTGCCTAGTGTGCAGAAACAACGTAAACCATGCTGGCCTCCCCGCCGCGACTGTGCATGGGCTTTCGACGTGGAGGCGCGTTTCCCGATGTGTGCTGTCACGTGCGCGAGCGCACCTGGCACACTCTGCGCGTGTCCCGCACGTGGCACGCCTGGCGGGGCTCGACCACGCGACACACATGGCGCACGTGGAGCACGTGGCGCATCTGGCGCGCCAGGCGTGCGTGGCACGTCTGGGCTCCTGGGGTGCCTGGCGCACCTGACGCGCGGGGCGTGCCTGGCAAGCATGGCGCATTTCTATCCAGCGTCACGCTCACGGATTCTGTGATGTTTTCCAGTAGCTGTCCATCTGTAGACGACCGCTGAACATGCTGAGGCTCGGGTGCTACTTCTGTGTTGGGATCGGGGGCGGCCAAGAGGGGGGCGTCCAAGAGGGGGGGGCGCAAATCATGGCCGGCGGCATGTGCGCTGGGGACGTAATGCATTAAGAAAAGGAACCATGACATCTGCGGAGATATCATGGCCCACGCCATGACATCCCCCCCCCTAGACATCACCCCCCTCAATGCCGCCCCCGATGTGAGGGCGGGTGGGAGTGCGCGAGACAGCTTGCGGGCGGGGAGGTTGTTTTGACCCCTCCCCCTGCCCCCTTCCCCTGGACCCTGGACCCTGGACGGGGGGAGGCGGCGGGTCGTTAGAGCGTCCAAGATGGCCTCGGCGAGAACGCCAACATCATTGATGTGACAAAGGTTTTGGCAACATCTTGGCCTGCTGGGGGCTTATTAATTAGTCCCCCTAATCTGATCGAATTCCTCCAAAATGGTTCCACGATGGCCCCCAAGAGTGTCCCAAGAGGGCCCCAGGGGGCGCCCGGGAGGTCCCAAGAGGCCCCCAAGAGGTCCCCAAGAGACCCCCAAGAGACGCCCACGAGGCCCCAAGAGGCTCCCCCTCCTCCAAGAGGCCCCCTGGGGGCGCCAAGAGGCCCCCTAGACGCCCGAATAGAACTCGAATAAGCTCTCGAGAGACATCCGAAGCGACTCCAGGAGGTATCCAAGAGGCCTCAGGCCTTTCTGCTCGCCCTCCTCCTCCTCCTCCTCCTCCTCGTCCACTTCCTACTCCTCCTGCTTCTCCTCCTCCTGCTCCTCCTCCTCCTCCTCGTCCTCCTCCTCTTCCTTCTCCTCCTCCTCCTCCTCCTCATCCTTCTCCTCTTCCTCCTCCTCTTCCTCATCCACCTGTTCCTCCTCATCCATCTTCATCCCCCCTGCCCCTCCCCGTCCTTCCCCTCCTCCTCCGGTTACTCCTCCCTCCTCCCCCTCTTGGGCTATGACGGCTTCCCCCGCCTTTTATTCAAATACATGCTTGCTGATCAAGACAACTCGCCAGGGCATCGTTTCTGGACGGGCTGATGGGGGTTACGCGAAGCGTCTAGAAGAAGGCGAGGCGCCATGACATCCAGGGATACATCCTTGTCCTAGCTGATTTTAGCAGGGCCCGACCGTCCCGGCATTCCTATAGGCCTACCTCGACATGTCCTTACAATCCCCAGATGTTCTAAGAGCAAAAGCAATGCTCTTATAACATAAACCCGACGTATTAAAGCACGACGGTCTCAGCGAGACATGTTCCAATAACATGTCGTGCAAACCACAGAAACTTCTTGAACCATTTTTTGTGGGCCTGTAGGCAAGCCCGGACGCTTCGCCACTGCTCGAATGACAATTACTTCCCCGACGAGTCCTCACCCCCCTCTTGGGCGCCACCGGTGTGGGCCTCCGGGGCCGCCAAAGACGGCTCTTGGGACGCAGGGCGCAGGCAGCGAAACGCTGTCGCTCGGGCGCCAGGCGCGCGCCGCGCGCGGCCCGCGGCCCCGCCTCGGTCTCCGCCCTCGGAGCATGGGTGGCCCAACCGAGAGTCAGAAGTGGACCCAGGGTGAGACGAAGCCAGGACCAGAGGCCTCCTAGATGGAGTCGGAGAGGAAGGGGCACCGGAGGATCGCGCCGCATCGCCGATACATCGGCGATGCATCGGCGATGCATTGGCGATGCATCGGCGACGCCAGCGTGGAGGAGATCCAGCTCCGCATCGAGCCACATCGCCGATGCATTTGCGATGCATCGGCGATGCGGCGCGATCCTCCGACCCCATCTACTCCGACCCCATCCATTCCTAGAAGGACGAGGATAAAATCGGAAGAGGATAGATCGAGAATCTCATGGTTCTGGCGGCTCTGGAAGATGTCTCGGGTGCCGCAGCCATCTCAGAGCGTTCCAGAACGCTCTGAGAGCGCTCCGGAACCCTCTGGAATCGATGGATCCTCGTCCCAGCCCGTCCGGAAGGGGTCGGGACCTCTGGTGTCGCGCATGGGAAAAACACATCGGCGGATGTAAGAGGTGGTGGTCTCCTGGTCTCCACCCATTCCCCAGAAAAGGCTTTGAATCCCGAATCGTTTCATTCTGTTCGGCCCCGGCCTCGAACGTGGCCAAAACCCTGCCGCCGTGACAGTTTCTCAAGACGCGGAGGGGGTCTGGGGTAGGCAGCAGCCGGCAGCGGCAGCGGCAATGGTTCGGGCGCGCGCTAACAGGGACCATGTATTCGTGGATCTGTCGAGTGGGCGCCAGGTCCACGAAGAAGGGAAAATGCCACCCGAGACATGTCGTCAATGCCGGCCGATTGGGCGACGGAGCGCGCCGATTCTGTACGGAAGCGGCCATCGCCGCCAATAATGCACGTTGCCTTCATCCATGTAGTGCGGGTGCGGCCGTCAGAAACCCTCGCAAGAAACCCAACCCCGAAAACCCGCGCGCGGTGTGCACCCGAGGAGGCACCCAGAGCACCCTGAACGCAGCAGCTCCTTCGCCGGCTGCGGAACGTCGCCGTGCAGCTCGCGGAGCGAAGAAACCCAGGATGCCCCGACGAAAAGCAGATTCCCCAATCAGTGCTTGCACTGAGGGGGTCCTAGCAGAAATTGCAAGATTTGGCGGCAATTTCCCGCCGGTTGTAGTAGCCGGCTGGGTTCCCAGGTTCCTGGTTCCGCGTTCCCGGGTTCCTGGTCTTTGGTTCCAAGCCGATTTCAGTTGGTTCTGGGTTCCCGGGTTCCCGGGGTCCGGGTCGATCCCCTCATCGATCTCTTTATCGGTCCCATTTCAAACCATCCACTGATTGGCTTTTTTCTCTGGCGTACACGTCGGTCGGAAGAAGTAGGTAAAAACATGAAGTAGGAAGGCGGATTAAACTGATTGGGTCCAGGCCCCCCAGGGAATAACAACACACAGCAAAAGCGTGTCGATTCTTGAAGTAGTACACTGGGATCTGGGAATCCAAAAATACCTACTTTCAACGACCGGCGTGTAATGGCTTCTCGACGCGCGCCCCAACTGCAAAGCCTCGACTCGCGCGATGCGACGGTGCGCGAGGCGCGGAGCCCTCCAATGGCCTTTCCGGCCCCCCCCCTCCCTGCACGGTTTCCCCCTGGGCCGTCGGCGACCCGAGGAGGAGGAGGAGGAGGAGGAGGCGGAGGAAGAGGAGGGGGAGGAGGAGGAAGAGGAGGAGGAGTCCGAGGAGGAGGAGGAGGAGGCGGAAGAGAAGGAGGAGGATGACGAGGAGGAGGAGGAGGAGGTAGGAGGAGAGGGAGGAGGAGGAGAAGGAGGAGGAGGAGGAGGAGGAGGAGGAGGAGGAGGAGGAGGCTCAGGAGGTGGGGGAGGAGGAGGAGGAGGAGGAGGAGGAGGAAGCGGAGGGAGGAGAGGAGAGGAGGAGCAAGAGGAGGAGGAGAGGTAGGGGAGAGGGAGGAGGAGGAACAGGAGGAGGAGGAGGATGAGGAGGAGGAGGAGGAGGAGGAGAGGCGGAGGATGGGGAGGTGGAGGAGAGGGAGGAGGAGGATGAAGAGGAGGGGGGAGGAGGAGGAGGAGTGAGGAGGAGGAGGAGGACGAGGAGGCGGAGGAGGAGGAGGAGGAGGAGGAGGAAGAGGAGGCGAAGGAGGAGGAGGAGGAGGACGAGGAGGATTAC